TGTCTAACAGTTCCTGTGAAATTCTGGAATTGTATTATGTAATTAAGTTTTCTTAGTTTATTAACTAATTGCAGCACACAAAACTGGAATTGTGAATTGTTCTTGCAAAGATTAAATATCATTTTGTGATTATTTTGGAATGGGGTTGCATCTCAAGCAAAAAAATCAATAATTAGAGTGCTCTTTGGATCCAGATTTTCTATTTTTGTCTCTTGGGAAAAAAACCTTTTTGTCCCGTAATCTCAATTACCTACTCTTGTTCATTCAGGTGGGATGATGTCATTAGTTGTGAAGTCAAAAACCAGCGATGTAGTGAAATGTGAAGTTATTGATGGGGGAGAACTGAAATCAAGACGGCATCTAAACGTAAGAGGGAAAAGTGCCACCCTACCTTCAATAACAGGTTTGTTCAATTTCTGGAACCCCACCTCCCTACAATATTTTACTTACTAATTTTTTACTAAGACGGTAAGACCACACTTTAGCTTGATCTTTTTTTGTAACTTATACAGAGAAAGACTGGGATGATATTAAGTTTGGCGTGGACAATCAAGTTGACTTCTATGCTGTTTCCTTTGTGAAGGATGCAAAGGTGGTCCATGAATTGAAAGATTACCTTAAAAGTAAAGTTTCTACTACCTATTATGTTTTTTTTGGGATAAGGATCTCCTACCTATTATTTGTAGGGATGTAACCTTGTCAAAGGCTTTCATAGTTGCATTCCTTCTTCTTTTTTTCTGAACTTGGAAGAGCTACTTTGCAGGTTGTAATGCAGATATTCATGTTATTGTAAAGATTGAAAGTGCAGACTCCATCCCAAATCTCCACTCGATCTTAACTGCATCTGATGGGGTTAGTTCAGTGTGTTTAAAATGTTGCCTATTTAATTAACTTCAGTACTCATGCTATTTTTCCTATGTCAGTGTGTGACCGAGTGTGTTGGGTAAGGCTCCGTAACGAAAATGATATCAGTATTTTTATTGTCTTGCTTCTATTTATCGAGTGAAGGATGATGCAGTGAAAATCTAAGTTGCTCGGACTCTCCAAAAATGTTGCCGCACCCGTGTCGGATCCTTTAAAAATACACTATTTTTGGAGGATCTGACACGCACCCGTCAACATTTTTGAAGAGTTCGAGCAACATAGGTGAAAATGTTGGTGCAAAATAAAATGGATTTGATCTCTAATTTGCGTTTCTTATTTCTTGGTATATGTGTGTTGGAAGTATTTCTGGCTGCAGTAGAAATTATTAATAGAAGTAGGAAATTTTGCTGTAGAAATATAGTTGTATCTTATGAAGAAGGGCTGGTCAATCTTCTTGTGTAGTTCTAGTTGCTTTCCCAGAACTCTGATTGTATTAATGGGTGGTGTGTCAAAGCTTTTGATTGACAATTCTACTGGCGAAGTTAGTTGTTTTATTTAGCAGATCAAAATGCCAATCTAAGCCAAGTTACTCATGCTACATCGATTTGATCTTCTAAATGACCACAACAATTATTTTAACATCTTTTTGGACATCTTTCTAAGTTATGTTATGCAACTGTTGATAGGCAATGGTGGCCCGTGGTGATCTTGGAGCTGAGCTTCCAATCGAGGAAGTCCCACTGCTGCAGGTAATCTCAATGCCTAGGCATACAGCTTCATTTCATGAGCCTTTAATAGGTGTTATCAAGTGCGGAGATGGTTATATCTTTATAATACCATCTCTTGCTAAAGAAAACTTATGTTCCATCACGAATCACATCATCTTGGTTAAATCTGTGCTCTTTGGTCAATATGGTGAACAAAATATAACAAAATCATAGAAGGGAGGCGAGTAATCGTTGAATATATTTATGTGGTATTACTGTTGATTTTTCACAAAAGTTTTTGTTGTTATAATCCCATCGCAAGTTAACCAGAATGTTCAAAATATCAGTAGGCTTACAATTATAAATATTTCCGTGGCAACTGAAGTCTGAACAAGAATGTTTTATAATATCACTCAATTGCATAGATTTGGAATCAAATGCTCCTAGTAGTTTGGGAGGAGAAACGTAGCACTGATGCATATGAAAAATCTGTATGTTAGTCGACCTACTAAGCTTGGAGTTTCCTGTTACCTTTGAACTATTTCTCCGTGTCAGTTATATACACAGCTGTGGTGCCCATCAAAACAAACCTGTCCTGTTCATTCAGCCTTTTGACCCCCTGGTACCTCTGCAGCAATAAAACCCCATTGCAATTATAGGAGAATTATTGTTCTTCAATATTCTTTTTCTCTTCTTTCATTCAGCATGGTTTACTTTCAAACTACATTTACACCTCTTTTCTGAACTGAATGTTGTGTGGTATTATCATACTCTTGTCAAAGATTAGTTACTTATCGTGATTTTTTGTCGCAAGGAAATGATTGCTCTCATTCCTGATGTAAATTGGAATAAACCAACAGGGAAACGTTCACTAGTTTAGGAGGCCAAAGTTTCTATCTATTAACATAATCAATTTGATTCTCTTAATTAACACTATAAAAGTAAGTGCTAGAATTACTGAAACAGGATTGACCACTGAACTGCATTCATTCTGGCCACCGGCGTCAATGATCTTTTCTCTTGGAGAAATTCCTTCACCCCCTTACCCTTTGGTATCTTACTTTAGGAACTTAGTCAGAACTGAGAAACTGCTATTACATGTATCTGCAGGAAGACATTATTAGAAGGTGTCGGAGCATGCAAAAACCTGTTATAGTAGCCACAAACATGCTTGAAAGCATGATAGATCACCCAACCCCAACCAGGGCAGAAGTCTCAGACATTTCTATTGCAGTACGTGAAGGTGCTGATGCTGTAATGCTTTCAGGGGAAACCGCTCATGGGAAGTAAGTATTGTTCTAGACACAAACTATTTCAATTAGAATCCTCTTTTATTTTGTGTTTTTTGTTTGTTATATTGTGTGTTATTTAGTAACCTGGAATAGTTGATTTGTAAATAATGAACCATCTATTTCCACAAATGCATAGGTACCCGTTGAAGGCAGTTCACGTGATGCATGTTGTTGCATTAAGGACTGAGTCAAGCCTACAAAACAGTACCAGTTCTCCAAGTCAATCTGTCGCCCATAAGGTATATGTGGTGTACGGATTCTATGTAACTTCACGTTTCAATTTACCTTTCTCTCAAAAAGAGTTATATATATTATTGGATCTTTATCTGTTTTTATTTCCCGTATTATCCAACCAGGAAATCACGTTCAACTTTTATTGTTACGCAAAATGCTCATCTGTTTGATATATTTTGCAGGGCCATATGGGTGAAATGTTTGCCTTCCACTCTTCCACAATGGCTGATACCCTTAGCACTCCCATCATTGTCTTCACAAGAACTGGGTCCATGGCGATAATTTTAAGTCATAATCGGCCTTCATCAACAATATTTGCTTTCACGAACAAGTAAGTAAATTAATATATTGGGTCATGGTTTAGTCTTTCTCTAGTCACAATTATAGTCTTTAGGGACTTCGCTTGACCTGCTCCACTGCTGAGCTATTTTCTCTGTGTTTTAAAGTGAAGTGTTGAGTTCTTTCACGCTATATAAAGAAATGGCCAGGTTGAACTGAATTTGAGCAGGTCAAAATGGGCTGAGTTAATAAGTGGGCCAATAACCCGCCCAAAAGTTATATGGACAGAAATGGGTTGGGTTAAATTGAATTAGAAAGTGTATCATAACCCAAACCCCCAATTCTTACTAAGTTTTAGTTTCTTTGGTTTCTCTTTTATAGTTTTTTAGTACCTAATAAAACTATTTTTTTTTCTTTATTATGTTTATATATAAAATATATCAAATAAAAAAAATGACTCTTTGAAAATATTTTGACAAGATTTCTCATGGGTCAGTTTGATCTATACACATCAATCCAATTTTATTGATTGGCTAAAACGGGCTGAGCTAATAAATGGACGGGTCAATAGCCAGGGTCATGTTTTCATGAGCTAATGTTGCCACCTCTAGCAAGTGGCCTCTCCATCTCTCTCTATTTATCTATCTATCAAGATGTGTTTACGTATGTATTTATTGACATAGGACATGAATTTATCTTTTGTGCCAGTGAAAGGGTGAAGCAGCGTCTTGCTCTGTTTCATGGTGTCGTCCCTATATATATGGAGTTTTCAGAAGATGCAGAGGAGACCTTTTCCCGAGCTATCAAGCTTTTAGTGGTTAGTGACGTCTCCTGTCTTTTTAATGTGTTTTTCCCTCTGCATTTCTTGTTTGAGATTGAGGATGCTCCATGCAAACACAGCTAATTCTATTGTTTCGTGTATCCTGTAGAACAAAAGCTCGGTGAAGGATGGGCAATATGTCACTCTTGTCCAAAGTGGAGCACAACCTATCTGGCGTAGGCATTCTACTCACCACATACAAGTCCGTAAGGTCCAAAGTTAATATGCGTATTCTTTGGTCGAATCATGTTGAGTGGTAGACATCTAGGATACAGTTTCTTATATACAGTTCCGCATTTGATGAAATTGGAAAAATCTTCTTAAAAGTTACAATTTTGAGATACACATGTATCTGTGTATCATTTTTGTATGAACTTTCTAGCAAATCTGAGAATGGAAGCTTAAGATTTGATAACTTAATTTAGCATCATTTTAAAATTTATCATTGTCACAATTCCATTTGGATATGTCATGGTGTATTAGAAATCAGAAAACAATTACTATCTCACGATCACTGGCAAAGCAAAACAATGCCAAAATAGAACCCCGTGTGTTGTTGTTGATGACAGGCAAAGCAAAACAGAACTATTTAAAGGTTTTTGGAAACAGCTTCCTCTGTGCATGGGTCTATTCCCATTCCAGAAGCTGCATTCTCTTGATGGTAAGGTAAGGAATTTTGGGGGGGAAAAAAGGTGATTTCGTATATAAAGATATGAGTTTCCAGGTGAATATCGAAATAGAATCCCCAAAAACCAGGGTTGGAGTATTAGACTTGTTCTTCTTCGATAGAGGCACTGTAAACCATAAGTAGAATAACGATAACTTGTCTTAAAAAGTAAATCTGTACAAAAGTTGAGGAGATATAGTTCATCCTCTTGTTTATTTGTTGTGGCAAAAATGCCTAAAAAAGTATGAGAAAGTTGCATTAAACTTCACATTTATCTTCTTCCTTTACTTGTTGAATCATTTCACCACCATGCTTTATACCCTTATACCACTTGGCACAGGCTATGAAAGCAACTAAATCTAAGATTGTCAAGCCAGCTAAAAGAAAGTAAAACCTGTCTAAGTGACCTTCATTGAGGTTACTTGGGATCCATCCAGACATGTTATCAGTTGTAGAAATTTTCATCACAACGCTCACGAGTAAGCTACTCACGTAGTTTCCTAGTGATATCGATGTCATACACAATGCACTTCCGAAGCTCTTGAGACCATCCGGTGCTTGCTCGTTGAAAAACTCCAGTTGTCCTACGTACATGAACACTTCTGAAGCTCCTATCAAAGAGTATTGAGGAACCTGCCAAAAGATACTCAGAGAGCTTGAGCCTTCACAATGTGTACACTCTTTTTTCGCGTACTTGAGCCTGTAGCACTCCACAATTGCTGCTGAAAGCATCGCCATCACAGCTATGACTAGTCCGATACCCATTCGTTGAAGTTGAGTTATCCCTTGACCCTCTCCCTTGATCTTTTTAATGTTTTTGACTATAGGATCAAGGACTCGACGATACAGGAATATGAAAACTGCTACACTCATGATGTCAAAGGTAGACATACTAGCAGCAGGAATCCTGAAGTTTCCGATGGTAGTTTTCATGGCGTCTCCTTGCTCAACAAAGATTGACGCCATTTGAGTAAACACTACCGAGTAAACTATAGTACATAGCCAAATTGGCAACAGCCTCAAAATGCATTTAACCTCTTCAACTTGTGAAACAGGGCAGAGGCGCCATTGGTTGCGATTACTCTGCTTCTCATTGTCCTGTTCTTTGGATGTCATCAGGGCCGCTCTATCCAAGAATCTACGTTTAAAACAACTTTTTATTAGAACGGGTTAAATACAGTACAGACACAAGTTCTTTGAACATTAATGTTTTGTTACTCACCTGAAACCATGAGTATGTAGCATTTTTCTACCGCTCTCATCATCGCCTTCATATAACTCGTCTTCATTCTCTGGTGTCTCTACACTCCATTTCTTCGATGCAGCGACTATAACCTGAGAAAACCTGATTATAGGATTGCCACTAGACCTGAAATGTCTATACTTCGCGGTGCCTCCAAGAAAGAGAACCAATCCAGCAAAGGCAGACGCAGCAGACGCCCAGAAACCAAGAGCCCACTTGCCTTCATCCTCAAAGTAGTCTAAAACAGTGTTAGAGAAAAGCGAACCAAGGTTCAAGAATAGGTAGAAGTAGCTGAAGAAGGCTAGTTTTGATTGTTTCTCCCTAGGATCACGTGCATCGAACTGATCAGCTCCAAAGGTAGCAATGTTAGGTTGGTAGCCTCCGTATCCGAGAGCAATCATGTACACAGAGACATAGAATAGACTGATCTCCATGTTTGAATGCACCCCACATAGAGTTTCTCGTTCCCCACAACCTTCCGGTTTGAGTAAGTAACGTTGTGTCGTCAGTGATAATAGTACCAATCCCTGTTAACAAGTTATAATTATTGCATTAATTACTAGTTAATTACTTCCAAGAATTCAAGATCATTGAATTTGGATATGATGTTGTGCAACGATAATAACTACTAATACAACAACATATCCAGTGTAATTCCTCAAGTGGGGTCCAAGTAATTGGATACTTACCGTTACATAGATGACTTGAAAAATGGCACAACTTTTGAATCTTCCCCAGTAAGAGTCACTAAGAAACGCGCCAAGAAGAGAGAAAATGTAGACAGTGCCCGTCCATATGCTCACATTATTCGCAGCTTCAGCATTGTTTTGTTGCAGCACTCTTGTTAGGAACAACACCAAATTCACCCCAACACCAAAAAACGCAAGAGTAGCTAAACCTTGATTCACTGGATATAAATAGAATTTAGAAAGTTAGGTGATCCTTTTATTGTTCAATCGATTAAGAAAAGAACGTTCGTTCATGAGATAGTTGAATCAATCGATTTGGTTTTATCCGTGTTACATAGTGGCTAACTAGTTAAGTTGATCAATCAAGGTTAAGACAGAGTCGTCTATGAGATAGTTGAATTAGTACATTTTGTCATGTGGATGTTACGTTCCCCAAAATAGTGGGATTTAGCATGGTTATAACTAGGTAAATCAATCGATCAAGCCTGAGACACAATTAGGGGAATGTAACATCCACACGATTTAGCATGGTTAACTAGGTAAATCGATCGATCAAGACCGAGACACACTTGTAAAAATGTGGAGAACTTTCAACTTTACCCTCTCAAGTAAGATAAACCACAAATTGTGGCAAACTATTTGATATAGTACTACGTTTGAATTTGATAATTAGGAAGTAACAACAAATATTTCATTTATCTCTCTTCCAATCAATTTCTTGTCAATATATAGGCTTTACTTTCTTAGATTAGTAGTTAATATTAGTGATAATTGTACGCCTAAAAAAGTAGTTAACCATGACATTGATATGGTAGTGATATTCCTACCACATTTAAATCATTCACTTGTGGAAAGAAATAAAAGGGGCTACCTCCCTCTATCCAATTTTACTTATCCAGTATTGACTTGACACCTTTCTCAAGAAACATAAAATTGAATGACAATTTTACTATATCACTATTCGAATATAATAAATACAAATGTTTTTTGGGAAATGTCTATATTTAGTAACAAGGGTTAAATTAGGAGCTAAGAAATAAATTATATCTTGATTTTTCAAGGATATCCATTTTTAGGAACTAAGTGATAAATTATAATATTTCAATCTAAACAAGTAAAAATGGACATCCATTTTTAGTATATTTGACAAGTAAAAGTGGACCGAAGAAGTAATATTTTGTTTCCTCTTTTATTTTTCCCCTTTTAAATCAATTTAAGTACATAAGCAAGCACTCAAATGTCAATACTTGCCAACACTATGCCCTAATGCCAACTTGGCAACATGATATGCCCTAATGTCAAAATATGCCAACACTATGCCCTTTTTGCGAATTTTGGGCGTGCGAAGTACTCTAATCATTAATTATTTTCAAGTACTCCTAATTAGGGGTGTACATGGCCGAGTTGGTTCGGATTTTTCAAATATCAAACCAAATCATTTGTGTCGGATTTTTAAATCTATAAACCAAACTAAACCAATTAAACTCGGATTTTTCAACCTCGGGTTTTTTTTGGATTTTTTCGGGTTTTTCTGGTAAAATGTTCATACAAACATATAATTTACTTGTACTTCAAATATTTCTTTAGTCCTACCAAAATACAACTATCTAAGGTGTTTCTTAAGAAAATAACACAAAATATGATGAGTAATGATACTAAAATAATCAACAAAAAAATAATAATAATAAAATCATGTAAAATAACAATTGCAAATTAACAAGTCATAATGAAAATGATCATAATTTAAAAGTACGAAATCATGCTAAAATAAGTTTAATAAGTATTAGTTACATGACTAAATATTAAAGGAAATTAAATTAGATTATGTATTTGAATTGTCTAAACCAATGTAAAATCAAAGAATAAATATTCAATATTATTGTCATTCTTAGTGTTGAATTGATTTTCTTTTTGCATTAGTATTAATCTGATTTTGATTTAAGCTTTATTATAATTGCCAACATCTGTGAACTATAATCTTTATTTAACCATTCAGAATTCTAAGTTTCAAACTTGAAATAATATATTAAAAAGAAAAAAACTATGAAAAAGTATAAGAAATATTTAAAAATTATATCAAAGTAAATATTTTTATGTATAAAATAAAATTTTAAAATTATATATATAATGTCGGGTTGGTTTGGTCTCGGGTTGTTTTTTTTTAATTAAAACCAAATCAATCCAAATATAGTCGGGTTTTTATTTCCAATACCAAACCAAGTCAAACCAACCACTAGTTGGGTTTTTTTTCTCTGTTTGACTCAGTTTGCGGTTTGATTTGATTTTCAATTCGATTTTTTACACCCCTACTCCTAATTATTAAGACATGCCGAGTGACTTTTCAGTGTTGAATATAAACCACTTTCCATACTCTATTCATCGAAACTTTTTCCTTATTCCCCACTAGTAGAATGACCAATCAAGGCAGTTAAAGGATGACAAACTCCGTTTTGTTATGGGTAATTCCTCCTTCGTTTGCCTGGAAGCAGACAAAGTCAGAACTCTCTTTGTTAGAAGTATATCGCTCAATAGTATTAGTAAATATTATAATCAACCCCTACCCTCCTTCCCGTATACTAGCAGTAGCCATGCCCTGCCACTCTCTTGTAGTGATGCATACTAAGTTATAATATATTACTATCCTTTTGTACCAAAAAAATAATCAGAGCATGTAAAAGTTCTCCATTCCGAACTTGTCACTACACTCTCAATAAAAGGCAATTTATATAAGACCAATGATTTATCACAAAACATGATACAATATTTATTAATATTGATACATCTTTATACCGCTAATACGTCATCTTTCTACGTACTAAACGCCAATTATAAGAACACTTCTATTTGTTGATATGCTTTTCGATGTTTAATACGCTATCCTTCTATGTACTAGTTCAATAACCAAACAAAAGAAGTTACAATGATGAACACCGATATTCATTAATACGTCTTTCAGTTTTTAACACGCCATCCTTCTACGTACTAGTCCAACAACCAATGAGAAAATGTTATAAGAACACCGATATTCATTATTGATACACATTTTAGTTTTAACACCTCATCCTTCCACATACTAATCCAACAACCAATCAGAAAATGGTATAAAAACACTTCATGTTCATTGATACACATTTCAATATTTAATACGCCATCCCTAAATAGTCATGTTTCTAGTAATTATGAAACACAAATTATATTTCAGAAAAAAAAATTACTTATAAAATGAAACACAATAAAAAAGAAAATAAGGATAAACAAAAATCCAGATCAATTATGGGGTCCACCAAGAACATTTTTTTTCATTATATTACGTGGCACCCATATTTGTATGAATATATTTTAGTGTCAAAAATGTATTTTGTATTACTGCATGCTTTTAATTTGTCACCACCGCCATCCCCTTACCCCATCCCCACCTCTTCCACTTTTGTCTCTTTGTTTTTTTCTACTGAATTTTTGCTATTACTGCCAAAAAAACCCTATCACAAAGTACATACCTTCTCTGAACTCTCAACCTCCCCCCCTCCCAAAAGTTTTATATACATACAAATTTTATATACGTATATAATTAGAGTTGTCAATATAAGAAAATATTTTTTGACACATGTCCTTAGTATTTTGCTTGTAAAACTAGTCTTTGTTCTTATAACTCTTTGGCATTTTCCTCATATGATAGCTGGCTTCATTTATTACTCAATTCTCACCACTTCCCATAGTTATCATCTTTTTCTTTTATTTAAGACTAAAGATAGAAAAAGAAAAAAAAATAGAAACAAAGAAGTTGGAAATTCAAGGAAAACTTGAAAGAAAAAAAAAATTCTTGGAATTCGTTATGTTTAGACATGCATTTTTGTTTGGTATGATTTCATTGTTGGAGTGTGAAAAAAATAGAATATACGCAAATGGTACCTTAAAAAGTTATTTTCGATAGGTAAAAATTAGTGAAAACAAGTGTTCAAATTTGTAAAACTCTTCTGCAAAATCTAACCAAAAAAATTAGTCTAATGTATTATTTTTATTTTTTTTTTTTTAAAAAAAAGAGATATTTTTTTATGTCATAACCACCTTTTCCACACACCAAAGGGGAAAAAAGAGTCGGTCATGAAGTCAGAGAATTTAATACCATATATAGACTATGACATATCTTAACACTTATTTTAATGTGGGGAAAAAACTATACTGTATAAAAACGAAAAGATAAGTACATTGTAATATCAGTTCTTTTTCTTCTTCTTTTTTGCCTTTTTCAAGGAAAAATTATGTTTTTTTTGTGTGTTAAAAAAAAAACTTACATAGAAGCATAATTCCAGCTAGCCATTTTCCAGTTTTTGCTCTGTTTGCAGGCATTCCATAAAAATCAACAGTTCCATCATTAGTACACTCTTCTTCTTCTCCTTTCACCTTCACCTATTTATGATCATCAAGATTTCATTTCCAACAAAAAAATAAAAATATAAAAAAAATACATTTTTTTAGTGAAGAAATACTATAACTAAAAGATCATTCTCTTTTCACTTTCTTGAAAAAAAAATTAAAAAAATGTGTTCCCTTTGCATGAGAAGATTATAAAGATGTGTGATTTTCTCTATAACTCAATATAGGTAAATGGTTGGCACTAAGACTAAAGAAGAGTGAGCTAAATTCATGATTTTTATAACTAATTAATTAATAATCATTACAAGAAATTTTAAAAAAAAATTATATTATATACCTCTTTGGAGAGTTCTAAGCAAGCCATTGATTGATGATAACTCAAAATAAATAAAATGAATATAAGTTGAAAGAGGAGATGTTTGATAGTGGAAATGAAGAGAGAAAGTAAGTTGGTTGAGAGTATGGATAAAAGTGAGTGACACACATTTGTATTTATAGAGGTTTGAGGCACTTATTTGTCTCTAACGGTGGAGATTAACTTGTGGTGGAAAAACAAGTCATAGAGACATAGCTAATAATTAACTAAAAAAAATGTGTTCGGTATTTTTTTATAATTTAAGTTTTTAGATGAGATCATATACATACATTTCACTATGATATAGTATGATATCAGAATATGATTTATTTCAATTTTCATTTTCGGTGTTGGACTCTTTATATTAAATTGCCTATGCATTAGATGTCTAGCCTCAAGTTGGGCTTGAGGGAAGTAAAGAGTCCCGCATCAACCCTTTTAGGATTCTTTTATCTTTTGAACTAACTTTTAAGGTTGAGTTAAACGTAATTCATTCTTTTTATAAATTTAAGTTGCAATGTTGTATGTATACGCTGGCCAATTTAATTTACTTGCAATAATTAACATGTTAGATAGTTATTTATCAAAAAAATTAATTGTAATTATGTACTACTCTCTCCGTTTCAAAAAGAATGACCTCATTTCCTTTTTAGTCTGTTTCAAAATTAAAAGAATGACCTCTTTCTTTTTTTTGGTAACATTTTGATTTCAACTTTCCATGTGGCATGTTTAAGGCCATAAGATTAAAAGACATTTTTATACATTTGACATAACTTTAATTTAAGACCACAAGATTCAAAAGTCTTATTTATTTTCTTAAACTTTGTGGCAAGTCAAACTAGGTCATTCTTTGTGAAACAGAGGGAGTATCAATAAGTGGTCTCATTATATAAATATTTAACCTATATTGCATAGGATTTAAACGCATTTCGAAAAAATTGTTTAGGACCTAATTAAAGAGGTGAGGTGGGGATAGGAATAGTGGAGAAATCAAGTTGATAATTTTTTTATTTGTAGTATAATTTTTTGACGAAAGGTACTTGATGAGGTTGGGGTGGGGAGGGGAGTGAGCTTGATTTCTCTATGATATCAAAAATAAAAATACTATACATGCCACCTAATATTTGAGGTCCCCTTCTATATATATCCCTCTTGTCTTTCAAATGGTTGCTTTTTTTTGACACATGAAATATTCACTCATTTCAATAATAATAAAATAGTATGTTTTAATTTGTTGAAAGACTTAACTATCTTAGTTTAAAAGTGGACTATTCTTTAATATTGACTCTTTATTTTAAATAATTAAGCATCATGTGCATAATTAGTGTTTTCTTATTCCTTTTATACGCTTTGAATTATTGGTTTTTCATTTCACTAATTATATTTAAGATCTTAAATATTTATATCTAAGATCTTAAAAGTTAATTGGTTTTCATTTCACTAATTATATGAAAGAATTTGAACATTTCATTAAAGACTAATCGAATTTTTAAGGCAATGAGTGAAATAGCTTAGGGTCTATATTTACAAATTACTCAACGGGCTAATGAGTAATTTGGAGCGAAATTAGACTTATTACGCGAGATAAAACTTATTCCCATCCATCTTTACTTGTTCAGTATCGACTTGACACACTTTTAAAATAAATAAAAAATAATTTTATTATATCATAAATATAACAATTTAGAAATGCTTAATTTGGAGAAATAACTATAATTAATGATAAATGATAAATTAGGAACTAAGTGCTAAATTATATCTTGATTTTTCAGATTAGATTATCTAAGAAGCTATCTATCTAGACAATTTTTTTCTTAAAAAAGTATAGGAATATTCATTAGATGAATGAAAAGGTATTTTTTAAGAACAATATTATCTTTGCATATACTAAATAAAATACGAAATAACATCGTTGTTATATATTCTTTATATAATAGAGCTAATTATGCACCTACATAATTTTTATTCTTTGAAATTATTCGAAAAATCTTCTTGAAAGAGCTTCAATTTGTTAAAGAGAATAAGAAGTTGATTCTAGCCATTGATAATTGAAGTATATATTTTCTTGGAATAATCAAACTATTATTAATGACTTAAGTTCTCTAGATACATTTGCAGCATCTTCAAACAATTATGTTGGAGGTGGATAAGATTCCAATTAAAAATCTGATGGTTTCATTTCACTTGAAAACAACAACAACAACATGATATTCACTAAAATTAATTGGATTGTCCTGATTTTTTATTTGATATTGAACAATACCTGGTTTTACGATAAGTTATGATATTCTTCAAAATTTTAATCACGCATCTTGATTAATCATTATAATTTTAGTGATAAGACATGTCTTAACATAAGTTATGGTGATCGCTAGAACCTTTTCAGTATTTGTAGCTGAAATCCTGGTGATTTATTAAGGTTTGAGGTCAAAATTTCTGGCCATCATCATAATTTCTTGTATAGAAATTTCTATAACACATTTTTTTTTTTACTTCAATTTGATCCAAATCAACTTCAAAATTGATGAATCCTTATTTATGTAACAATTAATTTGTGACTGGATGGTGATAATTTTTCATGTTGATCATACATTGTATGGTGTTTATATTGTTCGCTATTGTTTGAGTTCGCATAATTTTTTGTAAAACATCTTGCATCATTAAAAGTATCTTTATAACATTCTTTTCTTTTCACCTTCTAAGTTGGATTTTGTTCGCATGTCCAACAATTTCATGGACTTATCTGAAGATTATTTATGTAACAAATATCAATTAAATATTTATGATCACTAAAATTTATTGACTTCTTTTTGTGTGCTTCAAAGCTATGCACAAAGTAAAAACATTTAGTTAAGTCTCATGTCATCTCTTTGAAGTATTCGCTTTGATACTTAGTTATTGAAACTAAAAAAACAATCCAAATTAATGGCACTCATACATTACAGAACTCTAATTCATTTTGTCGATCCTTTCATCAAATTGACCCTACTTTTTTTTTCTTTTTCTGATTTGTAAAAAAATCATCTAAAAATTCAAGTTAATTTGAAATATGGTTAGTAAAATAAAACAAAATTAATTTACAACTCACTCTTTACGTGCATTTTTCTTGCACGTTACTTGCACTATATGATGACTTTAAGATGGTGTCACTCTTCTTAAAGTTGTGTGCGGATATTTGTTTAAGAGACTATTTGAATTGACTTATTTTAAGTGTTTTTAATTTAAAATAATTTCTAAATATTTTTGAAGTGTTTGGATAAACTAAAAAAAATAAAATTATAAACACATGATTTAAAGTTAAAATATTACATAAATAATTCAGAAGTTATAAGTTGAAATTTCTAAGTTATAACTTCTATAAGTTATAAGTGGAAAATCAATCCAAATAAACTCTTAATTTTGAAGCAGAATAGTTTATTTATAGGGCTTTTATTCAACACACTTAAGGAGATTAAAAAAATTACATAGGGTGGAAGAGAGTTAGGTATTAGTTCATAGGAGGAATATTCATTTAGGTTTGGTTTGTATTTTTCATATAGCCTTTTGACTTGGATTGCAAATATTTTTTTTTAATTTGATTGGTAATAAAAATTTTGGAAAATATTTTTTTTCTAAGAAAAATAATTCCTTAAAAATGAGGAAAATGATTTTTCTGATAAAAATAGTACGTAACAAGAAGAAATAGTCTTTGGCAAAGGCATATTGTTCTTTTTTTCATAACACAAAATGATTCTTTAAATTTACAATGAATCAATATATTCTCTATTTGTAGTGTGGAAGAGATAATATATTATCCCCAAATTTATATATCTCACTAGGTTGGTAAATAAATTGGAAAAGAAGAATAAGAAATTGCCTAAATTAATGAATAAGCGTTTGATGAAAAGAATAATTTCCTATAATTTTTTTTGATGTTCTTTTCTTGTGGATTATGCGTATCAACAGCCATGCAAAGGAATAAAATTTGATGCCAATCAATTAGCATATTAGAAATTCTTCTTGCTTCTTTTTTCTGTTACAATTTATTTTCGATCATATATAGTTTTTTATGAATAATTCAACCAAATTCTTAGAAATTAGGCATAACACGATCGTACGTATAAAGAATCTTTTGCTTATATAAGGTGTTGATTGTCCACGAAGGCGCGGAGCTAGGTGGGGTTTGTGGATTCAGACAAACTCACTAGCTTTTCCGTAAATTATGTATTTGTATTAGAAAATTAAATAAATATATATGTATATTAACTTGTGAACCCTAAACAAAATTGATTAATAACTCAATGGTAAGGAAGATTGGTGAAAATGCTTTTCACATTAGTGTTTTGGTTCGAACCCCTTTATCAACAAAAAATTCTCTTTTCTTTTTTAGGAAGCATGTTTTGTAATATTTTTCTCTCTTGTCCTAAAATTTGAACCCACAAACTCCACCTCTGATTGTTCAGCATACATTAGATATATATGTATAAAAACATCAAAATTAACCGATGAAAATATAATATAGTCCGTCCAAATTTAGACACATTTGCCTAAGGGCTAAGCATAGATAATTGACGGATTATTTTGGGCATTCATTCAAAAGTGTGATTTACAAAAATGATCTTGAATGTAGGTGGTCTTAAACTTTTGATCTCGCTTTTTTCATGGATAAAATTTCAAAATCAACAAATTTTGTAAATGACCTTGAAAGCACGAGGGTCAAAAGTTCAAGAGTATCATTTTCAAGATCAAGTTTCCTTAATCCAAATTATCCCTTTAAAAATCTGAGTCAGTTTAAGCTACATATATCGTCCAAATTGATTTATAAAAAAAACTTATCAAAACATAATTATTTCTCAACAAATAAAAATGATCAACATAATAAAATTCCACTGTCACCCACTATAGGTATATAATATTTTCATGCGTTTAGTATATAACTATAAATAAATACTTGAGGAAGTGTGTTAAAAAAGTTAATCAAATGAAAAAAGTTTAATTATGTAAATTACAAGAAAACTAAAGTGATTCAA